CTTTATTTTATTCTCATCTTCCAATCATTAATTGTCCTCCAAAATTTCAGGACAAGAATTGAAAGCAGAGAAAGAGAATGAGTGATGAAAACTGATAATTATAAGAAGAGAAAGAGCATGCTGTTTGTGGAATTCTGCTAGTTGACAGCAATTGACTACACTTCTCTGGGCTTTTCTGCAAGACTAGGTTGTCACTGTAGGATATGCAGATGTATGTTTTAAAGAAAGTGAAGGCTTGGTTTTGACTGCTTTCTTTCATATTGTCACTTCATATGCATCTCTCCAAGGTCCCCACTTGTAAGTCCCCAGAGTCATGGCTTAACTCCAGCCATGGCTACTGCAGGATATTCCAGACAAGAGGCAGTGAGTGCCAATATCCTCCAATCACACCACTAACTGCTGAAGGATTTATGCAACTCTCAATTTTGAACCTTGATTTAAAAAGGTAGCATGAAATACATTTGAGAAGCAATGTTCTCTGCACAAGACTAGCTCCACAGCTACTTTTTTTTATACCAAAGTAGTCACAGCATTAATTTCTATGAAGCTGTTTTTGATATGTAACTAGCCACAAACTGCTATAACTAATTAGACCACAGGCTGAGTGAGAATTTCGTACATAGGGAATCTGGGCTGCCACCATTGCATCATACAAATTGGAGATTTCAGTATCATTCTGGTATCCATAGCGACTCAGCTGGAATCCCAGCGCCCAGTATGGAATCATTGCTGGCCGACCAATCAACTAGAATAAAAAGAAAAATGAATCCAGGTAGACTTCTTAGGGAAGAAAAGATAGTTGACTTATACATGAATCAATTGAGCATTTCCACTGAGCACTGTCTGATCTAAGAGGCCTCGCTCAAGAAAATAAAAAGTCCAATAAACATGGAACAATTATTGCCATGAAGAATTGTACAAACATTTTTAATTGAAGTTTTTGTATATTCCAGAGCTTCCATTCTAGAAAACCTGAAAACTTAGTGGTTATTATTGATTAGAGATTCTTAGATAGGCTATTTAGCAACCAAGAGACACATGGGATATAAATATGCCTTTATAGCCCATAACACTAACATCTGACTTTCAGGAAAGACAGCAATAATCTAGTGGGAACACTCCGAGTTCATAAGGAAAAAGTGGCCTATCTCAGTGCTAATAATGTGATAATACCCAATAAATATTTGATGATTTATCAATAGCTAGAATGGCTTCCAACCTTGGTGTATTGCTGAGTTACAAGTTCAGGGGTCGGCCCCAAAACCACATAAAAGTCCAAAATCCCTCCTATAGTACGGTATGTCAGGGCAGGAGTGGGCTGTAATGTTACATCTGTAAAAAGAAAAAGCAGATGAGTAGTATCCTTAGAACTACAGATCACCCAGATAGGGAATCTGCCCTAAAATGTGCTATTTTCACTTTTTGTTTATTGCCTCCTTCCTCTATAAAGTCTGCTCTTAACCAGGAGAATCAGAGATGGATCTGCAGGTATCCCAAACATAATACGCAACCTCAACAACTTATACAACTCTGTGAAAAGGAGCCAGAGTGTCACAGTAAAAGGAGGCTACACAGGAGTAAGGACCATGGTTAGTCAAAACTTTACACCTAACACCTTGTCTAGAGCTCTTAATAAATCTTGAATAAATGGATGCATAAATGGAAAGTCAGTTTTATTTGTCCCATTTTCCTTGCCCCCGAATGTCTCCATTTCTGTTGATAGCCCAGATCCCAACAGTGTGGTCACAGCTGCTGATGGTGGTGCACGGGGATGTGCCCGTCTTACCCATGGCATTGCTGTTCAGCAAGAGCACCCCGTGGGCACTGCTGTCCTCCTCCAGTGCCATGTAGTAGGGGTGGACACTGTAGGAATTCTTCTTGTACTGGGAGAGTCATGAGTATAATAAAAAAGAAAAAAACCAAGAAGTTGTTTCCACAACATAACCCAAACAGCAAACTCTTACTCAACATTAAAGATTCAGCTCAATGTCACTTGCTTTGTAGAGGCTTTTTCACCCTCCTTTCCACCTCAAGTAAAAAGCTGTGTCCTCCCCTCTCTGTGCTTGTGTTGTTTATTATTGCACAATTCTATTATGTGTTATTAATATCACATAATTCAGTGATTACACTGTGCTAGCATTATTTCTGCATCTTTTTCTCTCATTAGTCTCTAAGCCTCTGGAGAGCAGACAGCGTCTTATTAAATTTGTAGCTAAGCACTTAGCAATGTGCCTGACATGTACAATATGTTAAATAAAAGTTTATGAAATAAATAATATCCATAGTTGACAGGAAAAAGTATTTATACCTTTTAGGGACAAAAAGAGTGTGATGTGTGGGCTGCTACAATTGAGAGCAGAGTGTATCAACATAAGATGAAGCTGGTGAACAGGGCACCATCTCTGGGCATAAGAATTAAAGCAGATGCACATTGAGAGAAACTAATCTTATTCCTCTGTCCTCACCGCTGGTGGCTCATCACGAGCAAACATTCCCCACACGTTCCAGCTCATGTTTCTTCTGAAAGCTGTGTGCTCAGTTTCCCCAAAGCCATAGACGTACTGAGTGGGGAGGCGAGTGGAGATGGAGAGGAACATGTCGTTGAAGGTGAAGCCGGGGAGCTGTGAGTCCCAGCTGCAACACAGAGACAGACCATGCTGAGCTGGACGTCACTGGCCAGAGCAAACGTGGAATATGCTATGAATATCTAGTTGACTCAGAAGCCTCCTGAATTGTTGCACACCTGGATCCAGATCCAAATACCATGAAATGGCCCAGATCATAACAACAGCCATGACTCGGTGCCAAGGTTCTAGGTTTGCATTTTTATTCTGTAGGTTACAAAAATGAGAGCTTCTTCTCTGGGTCATGGGCTCCTTGAGGGCAAAGACTATATCTCATTCATCTCTTTATTTCTAGATATCAGTCCTGGCATATCAGCTTGAATAAAGGTATGAATAAATGAATAGGATCTAAGCAAATTTTCCAAAAGAAAAGTATGAAACTCATGGAACAACTTCTCTAGATAAACCAAAGAACTTCTTACCAAAAAGAGCAACAGAGAGAAAATCAGACACACAGTCAAAGAGAGCAGAAGCCATCCATACACAGGAAGGCACATGTGTACACATACAGGTGACAGCTTCTACTAGGATGCGGAACCTCACCCCAGGCAAAATCCAGAAAAACCTCCATTTCATTCCAATCAGCAACAGGACAAAGAATGAGAGATGACAATTCCTTTCATACCTAATTTTGTGAAAAGGCTTTAAGTCTTTTGGTTCTCAACAGAAGCAAAAACTGCAAGAAGCCTTTTCCTTTTCCCTCTCATTAATCTTTGCCCCCCTCCTGCCTCTTTAGTTACTATTTCTTAATGAAGCATAATATGGAAGTGTTTTATATCTTAGGTTATCTGTTATTAAATAGAAGTTTCTGTTCTACTTCTCAAGAACAATGAGTAGAACATGTATTTTTCTTTCTCTGAAATCAAACAACACTTAGTTTTTTAATCTTAATTAATTTTTTTTATTGAATCAATGACTAATAGAAAAAAATTTACCATTGAAATGGGGGAACTAGATGTACTCTTTGACAAACACATATTTATGTAGAACCTCTGAGGTTAATATTTCACTTGAATTAATTAGAACCACTGTAATAAAATCTGGAAGCACTCTAATTAGAACCAAATAAATAGTACTTACATCACAGTGCCGGAGCTTTTGCGCCGAATCTGGATTCCAAAAGGATTGTTCTGAATCATAACATCATACAGACAGTTTTCGGGGTGGTCAACTGGTGAGGGAGGGGTGTTCAGAGATACTGGGACCTCATACCTTTTATTAGCGGCATCATAGATCTGGCAAGGAGAGAGAAGAAAATTTTCTGAGAGCATCTCAGACCTAAAACCCCTCATGCCAACCCCCATAATTCAGTCCTCACGTTTTATGGTCAGTTTGTATTATATTAGGAAGCATCAAATATCCCAGAACAAATAGACATGAGGCCTGCCTACCCACTGTGCCCAATACAGACCCTGCATTTCAAAAAGGCCTCAGTAAAATCCATTCGAAGCCAGGGAGGGCCCTTCCTCTAAAGAACTTGTGATTGAGGGGTATAGAATCTCATAAATCGAGTTTGTGGCATGCGAACATGCCCGTGCATGGCACTCTGTAAGACCGTGTGAGAGTGTGTAAGTTAGGAATTAGAGAATTGAGTTGTTATACGGGCTCTGAGATCTCCGCACTGTTTGAGTTTCCAGATGTTGCACAGCCTTTCCATTCCTAAGGTTTCTCTTTGACACCCACCACTTGTTCCTACTTAACTAACAGGATTGATGTGTGGGAAAAATGAAAGGAGTGAAAAATGTCATGCAAGGACAAAAAGTATCACCATTATGAGCAACCACCCTCTTTCTCATATTATCAGCCCAAGTCGTGCTTAGGCGAGGGTTTTCTAAAGCCCTGCTTCTCGAAATTGTATTTCTCAGACCCAAAGCAGCAGCACCACCAAGGAGCTAGTTAGGAATGCAGACTCTCAGGCCCTACCCTGGACTTTCTGAATCAAAACTTGCATTTTCACGAGACACCTAGGTGATTCGTGATACGTTAAAGTGCGGAAAGCAATGTTAAGAGCTAAGCTGCCCAAGGTGGTGTCCACAAGCCACATGTGGCCACTGAGTGTTAATGAGAGCTCGTTTGAATTGAGAGGCACTCTAACCACAAAATTTACATCAGATTTTAAAGATTTAGTATGATTAAAAGATTGCAAGACACCTCCATTAAATTTTGATTTCAAAGTGAAATGATAACATTTTGGCATATTAGTTAAATAAAATGTTATTAAAATTAATTTCTCTTGAGTTTTTTCAAAAGCATTTTTTAAAATACACATACTAGAAAACATAAGTGGCCCACGTTGTCTTTCTAGTAGTCAAGACAGAGCAGTGGTTCTCAAAGTGCAACCCCTTAACCTGCAGAATCAGCATCACCTGGGAACTTGTCAGACATGCAAACTCTCAGGCTGGCCCCAGCCCAGACCTGCTGAATTGAAAATTCTGGGGGTGAGGCCCAGAAATCTGGATTTTTAACAAGACCTGCAAGTGATTCTAATGCATGCTAAAGTTTGAGAACAACTCTAGAGGAATAATTCTAATATTGGAAGTAAGTCAATACCTCTCATATGAGTTTACCACAAAGCAGACACATTTGTTCAGGGTTAAGGGATGATTCTCTGAGGATGTTTACGACCTGGAGTACATGACATTATAGGAAATTCACAATCCTGGTGAATCTAAGGTCACATCCTGGCTCTACTGTCTATTTTCTGACCTTTACCTCTCTAGAGTCCTCAGCCCCATTATCTGTACAATGAGAGATTTGGACTAAAAGCTGTTGCAATGACGTCCATCTGTGCAGAGCTGTAAGTTTAAAACTCCCTGCTGAGAACCAGAATCCGCAACACAGGGAATTACCTTGACCTGCAGCATGTCTTCTGTGTGGTAGGTCACGCTCAGGTGGAGGAAGCTGATCTTTGCAGAGAGAAAATCAGAGGCAGCAGCTGTGGATGGGGGTAGCACACCCTCTGGTGGCAGTGGTGGCTCATCCGCTGCCCCTGCCAACTCAGGGGCCCCCAGGAGAGCCAGGTCTGCAGTGATGCCCGTGGACAGGTACTGAATGTTACTAGCAACATAATCAGGGATGGTGTCATAGTAACAGGTGGGCACGCCAGGAGTCGTCGTGAGCTGAAACCACAGGAGTCCTGGGTCAGTGTCTAACACAATTCAAGGCTCTAATTACTGGAGAAGTTGGTTAACACAGAATAAGTTTCTGACAGCATGGCCATTGCTATGGGTTGAATTGTGTACCCCGAAAAGACGTTAAGCCCTGATCCTTGATACCTATGAATGTGATTATTTGGAAATAGGGTCTTTGCAGATGAGCACGCGAAGATGAGGTCATTAGGATGAGCCCTAATCCAATAGGACTGGTGTCCTTAAGAAGAAAACTTTGGACACAGAGATGGACGTTCACACAGAGAAAATGCCGTATGAACATGAAGGCAGAGTTCAAGGTAATGTATCTACAAGCTAAGAAATACCAAACATTGCCAGCAACCACCAGAAGTAAGGGGAAGATCATGGAGCAGAGTCTCCCTGAAGGCACTCAGAAGGAACCAACCCCACCGACACCAGGATCTTAGACTTCTAAACTCGAGAACTGTGAGGGAATAAACTTCTGTTGCTCTGAGCCACTCAGTTTGTTGTATTCTGTTATGGCAGCCCTAGCAAACAAACACGCCCATTTTAAACACACACACGCACACACACACACACACACACACACACACGCATGCACACTGGCTGCCTGTAATGAGTGAGCAGACGGAAGCCTAATCTGGAGGCAGGAACCCTCAGGCAAGGTCCTTCTCCCAGTGTCCTTGCTGTCCTCAGTACAATCTAGAGGACACCACTTATGTTTTTTTAATTTTTTTAAGTTTCCATTCTCTATATTGTTCAAACAGAGAGGAGTAGCATTACTTTACCCTTCCTTCTTGGAGTCTCCGATAGCTGGAAAAAAAAATTCACTTAAAATACTCAATGCACAATGCATACCCAATGCATTTTATGACGTTAAAATGGGGTTTTAAATGATATGGTTGGAGTAGCGATGAGAGTGACAATGAGTTTCTTCTGATTCAGGATCTCTGAGGAAAATGCAGATCACCTATTATGCAGAATGCACAATGCACAGGGTCACAGGGTCACGATTACTGTCCAAGCCAAATATCTGAAAAGCGTTTTCCAGGTGCCTAAGGACAGTTTTTGCAACTTCCTGATCAATATAGTAATTTTCTCCTGATCATTACCTCCCACAGGCACCCCCGCTGCCCGCAACTTTCCTCAGAGGCAGTGGGATCTTCAGGGTAACAGTTGAACTTCTCCAGGTCACTGACTGGAAGGTTCCACTCAATAGAGAATTCTTGTCCCAGCACCAGTCCCTGGAGATCGGTGATGGTCACCACCTGCGGAAAGAGAATGACGGCCACGGCCACAGAGGAGGTGAGGGAGAGCCACCTGGGTAAAGTCCTTGCCTGGCGTGCTCAAAGTCAGGACCAGGGACTTAATCCTTCCTCCAGACCCCTGTGCTGTGATATATTTGGAACTTGGCTTACTCCTGACCTTTCTCACCCCTTGGAGTCATCGTGGGTATCAAGTGAGAAGAACATCGATCATGTTACGGAGTGAAGCTCACAGGCAGTGCTGCGGCTGTTAGCTTATTGTCTTCGGGGTGTGATGCTTTATCAATTTACTAATGATAGTGACAATAACAATAGCTAAACTCTGTGGAGCATTCATACGGGCTAAACACTGTGATAATCACTTTATAAGCATGATTGCCATTAATCCTATAAAGCTGCGGTCCCCAACCCCTCGGCTGCAGACCAGTAACGGTCTGTGGCCTGTTAGGAACCGGGCCATACAGCAGGAGGTGAGCAGCAGGCAGGCAAGCAAAGCTTCATCTGTATTTATAGCGACTCCCCATCACTCGCATCACTGCCTGAGCTTCGCCTCCTGTCAGATCAGTGGTGGCATTAGATTCTGCATTATGGTGAGTTGTATAATTATTTCATTGCATATTACAATGTAATAATAATAGAAATAAAGTATACAATAAGTGTTATGCACTTGAATCGTCCTGAAACCATCCCCCACCCCCACCCCTGATCCATGGAAATATTGTCTTCCATGAAACCAGTCCCTGGTACCAAAAAGGTTGGGGACAGCTGCTATAAAGCAATCCCATGCTGTGAATCCTATGGCTATCTCCATTTACAGAATAGAAAACTGAGGTACAAAAACTGTTTAATACCTTGCCCAAGATCTCACAACTAGGATCAGAACCTCATTCTGCCTAACTCTAGGAACTAACTCTTACTCTATACTATATGTAGTCAAAATGGAAGGGGCCTGACCTAAAAAATAATGAATTTCTCAGCACTTGAAATATTCAACTAACAATGTAAGGAACTCATTCAATCAGACAAACTCGAACTGTCCCTTGGGTTTTATTTTACTATTATTTTCTATAATCGTATAAAAATAGCTTGAAACACTAAGGACCAATATCAACTCTGCCTCAAAAAGAGCCTTTAATTTTAACAAAAGGACAAATGTGTAAATATGCTACAGAGAGAGGCCAATGTATTGAATAATATTTTTGCTACGTCACATCTGGGGTAAGCCTGTCTAGTTTTAAATTTTCCTACAGAAGAACTGCCTTCTCTCAAGAGCCCAACTCCCACCTTCTCTTCAGAGCCCTAACATAAACAAAGTGGAGCAGTCTATATTCAGCATGCACCGCTGTCTCCTGCACGCTCCCTGTGATGTGGTGGATTTCCAAGCAAGCCAGGTGTCTCTGTGACTGCCCAAAGTCGAAAGAGCAAGGGAGGGCTGTGTGTCAGTCTCAGGCCAGGGCCTGTGGCAAGGGCCTGCAGGATGGAACGATTTCCCACCTTTGTGGAAATGCTGTAGGCAACGCTTGGATTGGAAGTGGCAGCATTATTCACTAAGACAGTAAAATTGGCTGGCTGTTTGTCCATTCCAAGGATTCTGATATATGAAAACATGAGGTTGTCAGGATCCGTATAATTATTATTTGTTATCTTTGCCTGTAGACGGTTCTGAAAAAAAAAAAAATGTCAGATTAGAGACCAGGTAGTTCATATTCTTATTGTCCTCAAATACCATTCAACATTTCATTTTCTGAGATTTAAGGTGTTTCCTTTTTCTCTGCATCTCCAACCCTTGCCAGGTGATCGTCCCCAGGGAATTCACTAACTCAGACTCTTAACAATCCTAAATCGTTTAGTAATATTTCCTGTTTGCTTTGGTTCACTGGTTCTTTACTGATTCTGTTACTCAGAAAATATGTCCCTGACATCATAGAATTTCCAAGCAGACAAGTTGGGTACTTACACATCAAACAGAAAGACACAGAAATTCATTGGCACATGAACACATACACAGACACAAAAAGTGCCCAAATAATTTTTCTTTTATTTTAATTATAATGATGATAAGAGCCAAAATTGTTTGAATGATCACTATGTGCCAGGCACTGTGCTAAGCATTGTACATGTATTACTTCATTCAAATCTCACAGCAGACTATGAGGCTGAAATTATAATTATCCCCATTTTTCAGATGAGGAGACCAAAGCACAGAAAATTAGATAACTTATTTAGGGAACCATAGTTCAAAAGTGACAAAGTTGAGTCATGACAAAGAAGAGGGTGGAAGTGAAGACTAAAGAAAAA